CAAAAGATATCTACAAACATTAATATTAATAAAGTTTTAAAAATTAAAAACTTAAGTTTAGTTAAATATATACTCCATGGTTATTAAGGCACCTTGATTCATTTCTTTGATTTCTGGTGATTGAGCAACTTGTTGATGCAAAACAAATATATCAATAATTGTACTTCTTATGAGTTCAAGTACATTAGGACCAATACGATTTCAATATATAGCTAGTATCACCTTGTTGAAGGCTCTATCATAAACTATTATTTCTTCATTTTTTTTATTATTCTTGGAAGACAGAAAATAGTATCAATCATAGGTATATGGAAAGACAAGGGATTTGTTTTTTCAAATATCTACTTTTTTTTATTTTTTTTTTATTGTAACCAGGAAGGAGATCAAGATATATTATTTTTACTGTATATATCTCCTTAAGATACTTTTGAGTCAATAAATTTTTCTTGATCTATAATTTAGTTAATACAGTTACAAAAAAATTGCAAAAATTTTAACTTACAAAATTTTTATAGATCTTTTTTTTGGATTTTTTTATATTGTCAATGTCAGCTTTTAAAGCAGCAATAGCATTTTTCAAATCATTATTACAAGTAACCAAGAATCTCGAAAAATCTCTCCACTAGTTGACCTGATATTGTTTTATTATTAATAAACTTGAAAATATATACAAGTATTTTTTATTATATTTACATTCTAAAAAGTATTGATATTAAGGTTATAAATAGTCAGGCGGATATTCAATAAGTAATATATAGGTTTACTTAAAAATATAGTATATTTTATTGAATTATTGTATTTTTGTGATACAAAAAAATGAAAAACAGCAACAAAGATTTTTAAATTAAAGTATTTTAAATTAACTTAATATATATAGTACTCTGCTAATATAAAATAAAAAATTAACAGTCAAAATTAGTCTGTTATCAATAAAATTTCACATGCTGGCCTGGAGTTTTCCACCAGTAACAAATAGTATCGACTGGCACCTGCAAGTAGTGTTTAATAACAAGCTTGCCTGCACTAGTCCAGGATTTTCTACTGGAGGCATTAAGCACTCTTACTGTACCATTTCTGTCTCAATACCAATACAGCAAATGCTATTGGTCTAGGATTTCCCACTGGAGATAATATTAATACTGCATTAACACTTATAAGTACTATCTTGTATTGACATGGGCCTGCTTGCACTAGTTCAGAGTTGCCTATTGGAGGCATATAGTATACTTAATTGATACAACATATAAAAGACATATTGATTTAAAAATTTCTTCTACTCACCTTTTGCAGAAAGGAATTGGTGATTTTTTATAACTTTTTAACTTATGTTGACTTGATCCATACTAGTTGAATAGTGTTATGATTAATACTAGCAGCAATAAAATAACAACAAATCATTATGTATCAATAAATATTCTTATTTGTTTATGATATAAACTAAAGACTTATAATTGATTATAGTTAAGATTGAAAAACTAAAAAATGAAAGCAAATATTATAGTTAGTACTAGCAATAATAAAATAATAGCAACAATATATACAGTATTGGCAAAGTATTGCTTATCTATAACTATAGAATATAAAAATTGTGATTGACTGTGGATCGATAAATGAGTGACTAGAAATCGACAAAATTAAAGCTAGCTGTTAAATAACTGAATAAAATATAAAATATAAAAAAAATAAGTATATATATCAAACAAAAGTTACAATAAGCCAGAAAAAATATAAAGGCAGTTAGTGTATTGCTTACATTGGTCAGCAAAAGAAACTGTTTAGTAGCAACAATAAAATCAATCACAATTTTTTTTTATAAACTGATCATAATTTTTTTTTTATAAATCAATCATGTCCAATTATATATCAAATATATAATAACAGAAAAATATAAAATTAAAAAAAAGATAAGACAATATTACCTAGAAGCCTTTAAGAGAAGAAAAATCAATTTTGATAACCTGATAGAAGATTGAAAAGAGGAATACAATTTCAGAAACTATATTTAAGATAGCTGGTATAAGAACCTTCTCGAACTAATCTTACAAGAAGAATTATATAAAATATTCAAGAAGCTTTCTAATAACAAGGTCACAAGCAAATCTCAGACTAACTACAAGATGTTAAAAAGGTTAAGTCAAGATGAAAAAGAATACTAGAGAAAAATACTTAACAACTTCTTGAAATGGGAAGTTACTTCTATATTTTGAAGGCAAAGTTATATATATCCTATAGTCAAGCCAAAGCCTTGGGATTGTGAACTTTTAAATACAAGACCTATTGTATTACTGGAGGCTACTAGAAAATGTTTCACCAAAGTTCTGATCAACAGAATAGAAAATATTTGTAAAATCAATAATATTTTTAGAGAACCCAACTATGTAGAGTTACCAGAAGAAAGTATAGCAGAACCAATCCAAATTCTTAATAGTATCTGTGAAGACATAAAAGAGAACAAAGAAGAGTTATAGATATTGTTTTAAGACATAGTCAAAGTTTATTATACTATTAGTCTGGATATCCTAGTAAAAATGATGAAAAGAATCAAGGCACTAAAAGATTTTATTAAGATTAGGATGAACCTTTCAAAAATAAAGAATTCAAAGTCATATTTGAAGATGATTTTACTAATTCTATAAAAGCAAGGAATGAAATCAATCAATAAGAAATCATCTCACTATTAATGTGGAGAATCCTCTATGACCCTTTACTATGCAAAATCCAAAATGATACAAATAGAGAATATAAAATGTCAGTTACTTGGAATCTGAACTTCAATAGTTATAAGGTTGAATTGTTAGAATCAAGACATGTCACAATAGCCTTTATGGATGATACAACATAAATAGCAAGATTCAAGAAAGATATGAAAAAGATCTTGGAAATAGCAAGAATTTTTTATAGAACCAATGACTCTTAGATTAATAGTAACAAATCAGTTCTAGTTACTATTAACAATCCTAACTGTTATTTAGAAGAAGTCCAAGTAGGTATTAAAAAAGAAGTAGTTAAAGAGTTTGATAGAGTAGATCAAGTAAAATTTTTAGGAATTTGGATGGGTAATCAAAAGATCTTGATTGAACTAAAGAAAAGAGTATTCAAAGAAATTCATAAAATTACTAGAGCTCTCAAAAATAAAAAAGTGATAGATAAGCAGGTACTCTATATTATAAATAGAGTATCAATATAGAAGATAGAATTTAGAATATAGTATAGCATATTGTCCTGGAAAATATGCAATATATTAATAGCAGCATATAGAAAATTCTTCAAATACAAAAGTTTATTATATAGATCTACTCCCAACAGCATAATATATTACTCAAAGATTCATAATTTAAAGAGTATCTAAATATTACAAAAAAAAATTCAGATAATAGAATTGTACAATAGATTGAATGATCTTAGACCAGCAGGAACTACAACAATTATAAGACTCAAACAAGTACAAATCAAATATTGAAAAGCACTTAACTTACTAACTTGCAATTTACTAAATTATCTTATAGATAAAGACAACTTTTCACTTCAAGTAATTAAATTAGTCAAAAATATATGAATTATTGTTCAAAGTTAGAAATGGCATGATATCTTTAAATGGAAAAAAAAATAATCTAATCAGAAAATATCTATTACCTGAGAAATATAATAAAACTATATTATTACCAAGAAATAATAGATTGATGCATATAGATCAACTCATTGACTATAAAGCAAGCAAAGTGAGAAATTGACACATGCTCCAACTTATTCAAAAAATAGGTAAAGATCATATTCCAGAATAGTTCTTAAATATAAATAAAATATTCTTCAAAGATTTTTCAAATCAATTTATAGAATCATGAAAAATAGATTAAATAAAATAGAAGTTAACATATTTTATAGTCTGTCTTAACTATAACAAGAGACAAAAAATATGGATAATTAAAAAAAATATCAATCATCAACTGATATGGGGAAAGCTATTACAAAAGAAATTTAAGAAAAAAGCAAAGTTCGAATACTACAGGTGTCAGAATAGTGAAAATGATTAAGAGATAAAGCTAATTAAGTACATAAATTGCTTAGAAGATTTTATCCAAGAACAAAGTTGTATTATAAAGGGAGATATAGAAGAGATATATATAATATTATATCTTAATACAAGGAAAAGTACTAGGAGAGCCCAGATATTAACAATCCTATGTTCTACAATATTTTTGAAAAGAGTAATCAGAAAAATAATAGACAGTAATTAAGTATTTATATTGGTCTGTAAGGGCTATTCCAATAGTCCACTTTTAAAGGTATCACAATGGATTATATAAATATAGAAAATTGAAAAGAAATAATCATTAAAGAGAATGTTAAAAAGGAAGTATATTAAGATCTCCTAATAGAGATAATCCAGTATAATCTAAGATTCAAACAAAAGTTAACCTTCTATTTAGATAAATCACCAATTAATCATAACATGATAATATAAAGATGGAAGCAGTATAGATTCAAATAAATAATATAGAAATAAAAAGTAGATTTCAAATAGAGATAAACAGTTGGCTCTCATCCATATATATAGAACTAATAACAATAGTCATAATAATTCTAACAGTTTCAATAGTTAGCTCAATTGAAATCTCTATAGATAGTTAAGTCTATATCTCAAAGTGAAAAATAGTTGAGAAAGATGATTCAAAAAGAATATATAAAAAATAATCAAAGAATAAAAACTAGTTATTATAAGTATAAATAATAGAGCTGATCAATAAAAAAGATCTAGATCTGAAGCTTATCAAGATCAAGGCATATTCTCAAGATTCTCGTAATAATGAAGCAGATGCTTTAGCCAAAGATACTCTCAAACTTTTGATGATAGAATGGAAAAATCTTACCTTATATAAAATCTTTACAAAAATCAAGTACCACTAAAAATTTAAGATTAGACAAAATTTCTTAGAAAAATTTCAAAAATAAGTATTATTAAAATGTTTTAGATAATAAAAGAATGAAAAGATTGTTTCTCATTAACTAGAAAAGATTGTTTTTGTTAACTAACATATATTGATAATATTTCTTTATAGTATATAATAATGGTATATTAGTTCTTTTTCCTTTCAGAACTTTCTTATTGTTGATAGGAAAGGTGCTTTTGAACTTTATAATTAGTTTTTATTTGAAGAAAAGTATTTACAAGAAAAGAGAAAAAGTAAAAATTATTTATAAAGTTTTTTTCAAGTTGATTTAAAAAAGGTAATAAAACTTTGTTTATATAGAAGTATAAAAACTTCTTGTGAATATTTTTTCTGTATATGGTTAGAGAATCTGTGAAAAGAGTTTTTTGAAATTCTTTTTATTTTAAAAATCGGTATATTTTATATTAATTAATTGTTTTTAATAAGATTTATATTATGCAAAAATTTAAAATCAAATTAGAATAAATAATTTTTTTTAAAAAAAACTATATAGATAATTGATAAAAGAAAAAAATAAGTTTTTTTATTATAAAAAATTGTTATTAATACTTGTTTTAAAAATAAAAAACTTTTAAATACTTTATAATTATTATTTTTTAAAAAAAATTTCTCTTGTTATTAATAATAAAAAATTATTTAATTTTTTATTATTATTAAAAGCTTGATTGCTGTTTAAAAGATTTATAAATAGAAAAGGAAGTATAATTGTAATTTCAAAATTATTTTCAAGTTATTTTAAAAATTATAATAAGATTTTGTTAATTAAAAAAATTATTAAATATTTTTTATAAAATTAAAGAATTATTAAATAAGTTTTTTTAATATACAATTATAATATATCTTTATTTAAATATTAAAAAAATATTATAATAACTATTTATATTATAAAAAAAAAAAAAACCTAAATTGTTTTAATATATTATTGGTTAAAAAAATATATTACTTAAAAAATATAAAAGTCTATTAAATTAGTTTGAACTAAACAAAACAAAGTTTAAATTAGATATTTTAAGTCAAATCTAAGGAACAATATCTCACTTTTCTGATAGCTTGATATTAATCTTTATCTATTGGAATCATTATTTAAAATTTGTTGCTATAGATTATCTCAAAAAATAATAAATTGTTAATAGTAAACTAGGAAAGAAAAAATTTTAAAGAACTTTTAATTAATTCAACAATCTTTTCTCAAAGGAAATTTGCTTGATTAGAATATTCTCTAGTTTTAAACTATTTTTATTTAAAGATAAATGTCTTAACCAATCTCTTTTATGAAAAGTATTATGAATAAATAAATTTTTTATAATTATCCAATAACCACATTCAACCCATGTTTCACCTATTAAATTAAAAATATGTGCGAACCTTTTTCATATAAGATGCATTATCACTAACAAATAAAATAATTTCTCCCTTTGTTCACAACTATCAGGTGTTTCATCTGCCGTGACACATTTTTTTTCCCAATAAGTAAATTCTTTAATTTCACAACTTCATGTTCATAAAGCAATGAAAATATTTTTCTCGAAGTTGATTTTCTCCAACTATGGTACCGCATTAATTTAATAAATTAATTAATTAAAAATTTTTTGTAGAACTTGGTTGCACATTTGATGATTCTTTCTTTGGTATTGTCTAAAGTTTATGATCAACAACTTTATTACATGAAATACAATATAGTAAGTATTTCATTATATTCGTAAAATCATTTTCGAAATATGGATTCAATAAAAGACGAGAAGATGCTGATATGGGCATTATGGAATAAGCATAAAAGTTGGATTTACATCATACTATTCAATATACAGTATACAGTACATTTATATAGTAATATTGCGCATTATGCATGCATAATTATTTACGCGACCGCATAAATTTGGACACCCTAATTTGAAGAGGGAAATGCATTCACAAACTTTAAGCGGCCGTTATGGCTGTAACCGTTGTAAAAGAAGTGCAGACATGGTGGGAAAGGGACAATCATTTTTCATTATGAAAAAGAAACTAGAATCTCGGCAGGCACATTTTCATGTTTATTATTCTTATTCCACGATTACGGACAGCAAAAATCACGTAAAATGATAATACAATAGAAGAGTTCACCTGAAACAATAATAAAGTGTGTGGTCCTTCTCTGGGAATTACTACAACAATCCATAAAATGTTTTTCCCAACAAATTCACGAGTTGCTATGTGGCAGCTGATTGGATGATTAACGCGCATCCACACACTTTATTTCATATATTTATTTCTTGGGATGGATGGACGCATACACAAAGAGCCTCTAACGGCGAAGGAGGGAAACGCTACACAACCGTTCCCGTATAAATACCATCTTAATGTCACACAAATCGGAGGGGGTGATTTCGTGATAATAGCATCGGGCATTATCATGCTATTATCGCGTTCATTTTATCAATTGAGATATTTATTAATGCGTAGTGTGGATAACTGTTCCCCTTTGCTTCTTTAAATACAGTACGCAGTGAAATCCGATATAACGTAACACTGGGCTCAGTTATTAGTAGAAATTTTCGGAAATTCCGTTATAACAAAATTTTCACTATCAAGTCCATTGTATTGAGCTTAACTTAGTACGATTGCTTTGAGCGTCATTCCGTTATACTGCATCAAGATTTTTATTAGTTTCCGTTAAATCAAAATTTTTTTGGTACACGTTACTAATTATTCCATAAAGTTTTATGTTTCTCAAAAGAGATTCTTTAACGTTTCCCAATTTGAGGTCAAATTGCGCCCGAGAAATTGACTCGTATGTTTATTTCCCCCAAATGATATCCATTTTCATGATTATCCTTCGTAAGTTCGTAGGTTTTCTCAAGCTTTTTGCATGCATTTTTAACAATTGAATTGTCTGTCAGATGAACGAGACTACCGTCAGTCACTTCTCCGCTTTTCGTCAATACCGTCAGCTCGATATCCCATCTTTTTTTCTTCGCCGTTGTGGTAATTCCACCATCGTCCTTTACCGCCAATTTACACACACGGGGGTATTCATTGATGGCTTTTCCAGACAGATTTGTATCGGGTAGTGAATTGCCTGGATGGCATAGAATTACAAATCCTATCAATTTTCCAATGATCTCGCACACCTTTCTTCCATCTTTCCCAGCTGGTATCATTTTCTTTACATTATGAAATAACACCGGATCTATCGCACTGACATCATTTTCAACGCCACCACTCTTGGAACCACTGGCGTCTTGATGGTATCGCCACATCAAACACCATGATAGAATTGCTCGATCGATATGCGACAGGCCAGGTGCATTGCAAAGTAATCCACCCGCCAGAGGTAGATTGAAGGCGGCGATGGGTCGGGATTCCTTGGCCAAATTCATTGACCAATGAGCAAGGTACAAAAGATTCGGGAAGAGACGATCGAGCCGGTTCGGTTTTCTGATCGAATTGTTGATCGAGTCGTTGTAATCAAGGACGTCATAGAACACCGAGGGTATGCCACTTTTAACTATGGCTAGCAGATGTTGAACATCGAATCTTGGGTTAAACTGATGGGAGAGTATAAAAGTTTCCAACGGATCTTTCTGACGTTGAACTTCCGGCATCAGATCAAAACATTTGCCTTGGCGAACACCACCTTCACAAAAATATACATATTTCAGAGGAACGACCTCCATCACCGCCTCAAGTAGAAAACATGCAGCAGGAATGAGTTTGGCACGTCGTTTGCTAATCCGAAATGGATTAGCTTTTGGAAATATATCTTGAACGGATTGGTCCTTAGTAACCAATGGGTCGTGAACGGGTACCAGACGTTTGATGATCTTGGCAAGTTCTTCCGCCGGAGTACCATAACCATTTATAATTGGGATTGGATACGCGGCCTTGTCGTTAGAAGATTTCTTGCTCATTTTATATTCCGTCTCGGACATACTCAGGTAACCCAACGAACGTAGCCCACCACCACACATATAGACGTTGTATCCACCATCTCTCCTGATCTCCTCTGGGGGATTCAGCTTACTGAAGTTTTCGCGTAGTTCGCCCTTTATTTTTTCAAATAGATCCGAACGTTTCTGCGGAGTATCCTCCCTTTTCAACCGATTCGTCAGCGCGGCAGCACCATAAGGGATATTTATGGGAGAGCTAGACATATTAATATTACCACTTTCCTTTGGGCGATGTATAATATAATTCATCTCCACCGATCCGCCACCCATGTCCATTACCAATCCTTCAACCCCATGGTATGTGGCCACGACACCCATTCCCGAAATACGTGCCTCGTCAATTTCAGACAATATTTCCACTTCCCATCCCGTGGCCTTCAATATTCGGTCTCGAAAATCCTTGGAGTTGGGAGCGATACGGGTGGCTTCCGTGGCAACAACCCTGACATCATCAATACCATATTGCTTGGAGATATATTTGAACCTTTGCAAACAATTAACCACATCATCAATTATGTCTTCGGGAATTGAGGTAGGTTCGGAGTCTAACTCTGACGAATGCTGAGCCTCGAATAAAGAGATTGGAGCACGTTCCTCGTACACCGTAGGCAGGTGCCTTTGCAATGACGAGACCAGACCAAAACGAATTCCGTTACTTCCAATGTCTACGACACCAATTCCCTTTCCGTCTACATTCTAAATCGAAAAATCCGATGATTAGTGATAATAACGATTTTCCCAAAATCGATGATCAACCAACATCACCATTACCATCTTTTAAATCATTCAGGAGGAGGCAATCTCCACGATTCAGATCACAACAAAGAAGAAAACGGTTGCCGTTTTGTGTGACCAGATCAAAACCATGCCGTTTTTGGAGTTGTTACGTAATCATTATTGCCCAACATGCGCCTAATGCTAGGCAGAATTATCATTTACCTTGTTACATCAGAATTATCGTGTGCAATATGCATCTTAACCTAATTTGAATTTACAAGCCTTTGTGATCATCACGTAACAAAAAAAAGAATTGAAGATACTGTAACTTTGGCTTTGCGAAATATTGATCGAGGCTTTAAAGTCATAAACGCGTTTTGGTGGGCTATATTGACGATTTAAGTGCGCAATAATTTTATGGCATCCATTAATAATGTGTAGGTCCCCTCCAAAAGAAAAAAAAAAAGAAATGTTTTGCGGTCAATTTTAAGCCGTGTGTAACTTTGGTGACATCGTTTGAAAATGATCAAACAGAAAGGCTATGTTAAGGTAAGGCAGGGCTGAAGTGTTTAGGAAAATTGAAGGCTGAAGCAGAAAAATATTCCGAACCTCGGAAACCAAAACATAATTTGCCTGTTGAGGCAATTTCCGGGTCCAGAGGGCGTTATTACATCTGAAACGTTCATAAGAGAATGAGAATCGCTTAGCGCTCGACATCACCCATTTATCGCTACATTAAATTTAAAATTCCGCGCGAACATTCCCTGATCTTCATGACATAAGTATTCGGTAATATTGTTGGAAAATAAACAATGGTGACGTCACACAGACAGAGAAAAATATAATAAAGGTCCAGTCCGGGCCTCGCTCAAGGAGGGTGCGTAATTTAACAATCTTACGTACTTATGTATCGGGTCAAAATTTCTGGAATTCCCGCACCAGTTACGCCAGCATCATTATTAGCATGTAAAAGAGATTAATCGGGTCTAGCGGATTTACCTTTGGTCCCTATCATTACACTGATCATGCGTTGTGCACCCTGTCGAGGTCCAAGGGTAAAAGATTATGACAATGCACGCATTCACAATGCACATTAAATGGGTCCTTGTTATGATGTTATGATTACATTGGTCGCGGCCCCGTGCTCACATGTTGTGCTGTCCAAGCGGATTTGCGATAGCCAACGAGAAATTTTGGGAACGTAGTCGATCTCACATACTAAATTAATACATTTAGGAAGGGAAGAAATGAATTGATTCAAACGGGGTAATAAAAGGAAATGCACAACAGAATTATTTATATCCTTATTTGAATGGGTATTTTTGGGAAGTAAAAATAATGGGAAAATGAGATGACACGGCATTACTTCTCTCGTCGCCACCTCGAATTTTTATCAAAAAAGAAATTTCCATTTCCCCATTAAAATATAACATAATTTATTTCGACTGTACAACCAACGAGCTGCACCTAATTTATTGCCCGTGTAACATTTATTGTCCGATGTGTTATCCAAAACAGAAGAACAATGTATCGATTTCTTTTCGAAATTTTCCCTCATTTAATAAGTCACTTTTTCTTTTCCAGGATTAAACATCGGTGATCTACGTTCGCGGTGTCTGTGATTCACCGAAAACCCGTATAATTTTATGTAACAATTATTCGTGTTTTTATTAGTTTCCTAATTTGGGCATAGAAATTTCTGCGTAGAACACGTCTGCATGGAACAAACGCATGGAAAAGATCGCGCGTCGTGTTGTGCAATGTATTTTAAGAGGTATTTCATTCCTATCTAAAAAATGTAGCGTAAGAGAATATTTGTTTTCATTATTCGTATGAAATCAAAAAAAAAAAAACAGGTAGATGGCTGATACTTTTATCATTTGAAACAAAATAGATTGCCACCGCCACTGCAAAGGAAATACAATACATCGATTTAAAAAAAAAAAAATTATATAAAACAAATGATTAAATACTTCATTTATCTTAAATTCTATTTTTTTTTTTTTTTTTTTTTTGTGCTCAGTTCAAATATTATAAATAAACAATTCGAACCAACCACCTCTTACTTTTCTTCCTTTATCCTTCCTTTCTTGATTGGACTATTGCCACAGTAAGTGCTTGTTTAGAATAATTCCATACTCTCCGATACAGTGCATTCGGATTTGCATTTTACTGTACCATCTCAGTTACCTATCAAGCAAACCGTTGTACTGAAAATGCATCCATGCGCGTTTTCAATTAATCAATAGTTTCGTTCCTGACTCTTTTTCATTTTCTTTCTATTTCCGGTATTTTATTGTAATTTCCGTACTGCTTTACCACACGGACATCTTTTTTTTTCATTCCCGAGAATTCGTCGTACACTCTTTTTCTAACAAAAAAAAAATTATTTTCTTCTTTTTTTTTACCTTCCACCTCCAAAATGCCTTTTCCAGGTAATCAGCTGTCAACAACATCAACAACTCAAACACCGCCAACTCCAGACTCCCCAACCACAAATACCGAAAACAACACATCGAATTATAATAACACCGACATCTTTCTTGCGGTTCCAAGTAATTTAACACCAGACAGCTCTTCGATAGACACGGTGGTAAACACTTCCTCGGTGTCAAGTGGTACTTCTCTCCACACCACATTTTATTCCTCCTCCTCCTCCTCAATCATCAAACAGATGAGTTCTGCGTCACCAGATGAACGCTTTCACAAAAGGCGCAGAACTTTATCGCTATACTCTTTGGCCCGGGAAACTACCATAAGAAATCCGTTTGCTTTCAACGTTGGAATTTTAGGGAATTTGGTGGATCAAAAGGATTTACGTCTTTTAAGAAATATAGGGGGGTTAGATGGTCTGGTAAGAGGTTTGCAAACGGATTGTAAAACCGGTTTAAGTAGTCAGGAGTCTCGCCTCCCGTCGAATGTAACACTAAAGGACATAACGGGTCTGGACGATACCGAGCTCATGGAACTGCTACCTCAAGGGCATGATTCAGACGTAATAGGAAAATCTTCAGAGGAACCCCCTCCCCTGAAAATCACAACCGAAATCCCGAAAGAGGGTACAAAATTTTATGAGAGAATAAGAGTTTTCGGGAGAAATGTATTGCCGCAGAAGAAGCCAAAATCAATTTTCCGGTTGATGTGGCTGGCCATGCAAGAAAAAATTTTGATTCTACTGACGATAGCCGCGGTCATCTCGCTGGGATTGGGACTGTACCAGGATTTCAAAGTCGATCAAGGCCTGTCACAGCCGAAGATTCGGTGGGTCGAGGGAGCGGCCATCATAGTTGCGATTGTCATCGTGGTGATGGTGGGCAGCTTGAATGACTGGCAGAAGGAACGTCAATTTCAAAAGTTGAACAACAAAAAGGAAGATCGTGTGGTCAAGGTAATTAGGGACTCCAAGGAGGCCCTTGTGTCGGTACATGATATATTGGTCGGCGATATCCTACCGCTAGAGCCCGGTGACATAGCCTCCGCAGACGGCTTGCTGGTGTCCGGGTATAATTTGAAATGCGATGAATCGACCTTCACCGGGGAAAGTGACTCTGTGCGAAAGATGAAATACGATGATTGCATGAAGGAACTGTTGAATGAGGAGAGTGGTTCATCAGAACATCCTCAAAGTAAAAAGCTTGATCCTTTTATAAAAAGCGGAAGTAGAGTGTTGGAAGGCGTGGGTACCTACGTCGTGACTGCTGTAGGCGAGAACTCATCCCACGGAAAAATAATGATGTGTGAGTTTATCCCAACACTTTTCTCAAGTCGTTATATGCTTACGTACGTCTTACAATGTATCCTTTACTTCAACAGCACTGAGAACTGATGCCGAAGACACCCCACTACAAGTGAAACTGAACGATCTTGCAGAAAAAATAGCGAAAATGGGAGGTGCCGCAGCCTTACTTATGCTCCTGGTTCTGTTGATCAAATACTTTGTTGGTTTTCGTAACGGCGTACCTTCGACCGCCTCGGTGTTTGAAAGTCTAATACAGATTCTGATCTCAACTGTTACCGTGGTAGTGGTGGCAGTCCCGGAAGGATTACCATTGGCCGTGACACTCGCGCTCGCCTATGCAACAACGCGCATGTTAAAGGATAACAATCTCGTGCGCGTGCTTTCAGCTTGTGAAACCATGGGTAACGCGACGACCATATGTTCCGATAAAACCGGTACTCTCACGCAGAACAAGATGACCGTGGTGGTTGGAACAATAGGCTTAGATGCCTCATTCGTAAGAGATTTCGGGGAACAAGGGATGATCCATCCACACAAGAATGGCGATAACATAGTCTTCCAGAAGAAGGCCGTTTCGGGAGCCATTCTGAGAATACTGGAAGAATCGATTTCTATAAATACCACAGCTTTCGAAGGAGATCCGGTAAATGGTCGACCCAATTTTATAGGCTCGAAAACAGAGACAGCGTTATTGGAATTTATAATTGACCTGAAACTCCGAGACTACAAAGAACTGAGATCAAACGCCGACGTTGTTCAGATGTTCCCATTTAGCTCCGAACATAAGGCGATGGGTGTGGTTGTGCGTGAGGGTGGATCGAGTTGGAGGTTCTTTGTGAAAGGCGCGAGCGAGGTATTGCTGAGTAAATCGGAGTTTATTATAGACACTGATGATGATGACAATGTAGTCAATATGACACAAGAGAACAGAAAGGTGATTCGAGAAAAAATAGAAGACTATGCCCACCAAAGTCTGAGAACTATTGCACTAGGATACCGTGTCTTTAAGGAGTGGCCACCATCGGGAATAGTTACAAGTGATGGTGAGATTGCCTTTGAGAGGTTAGTTGAGGAGATTACACTGTTGGGCATTATGGGTATTGAGGATCCATTAAGAGAAGGGGTACGTGAGGCTGTGCAAGACTGTCACAGGGCAGGCGTGAAAGTTCGCATGGTCACCGGTGATAATGTCTTGACCGCGAAATCTATTGCCACAAAGTGTGGAATCTATAATGGCGGCACAATTATGGAAGGTCCGGAGTTTCGCAATCTATCACCGGAAAAGATGAAACAGGTGATACCTGGACTACAGGTCCTGGCGAGATCTAGCCCGGAAGACAAGAGAACCCTGGTAGGAAAACTTCGGGAATTAGATGAGATCGTTGCTGTGACGGGTGATGGGACTAACGACGGACCGGCATTGAAAACAGCCGATGTAGGATTTTCCATGGGAATCGCGGGGACCGAGGTTGCAAAGGAGGCGTCCTCCATCATTCTGATGGACGACAATTTTTCTAGTATAGTGAAAGCAATCATGTGGGGACGTAGTGTGAATGATTCCGTCAAGAAATTCTTACAATTCCAGCTGACGGTCAACATCACAGCCGTATTACTTACATTCATTTCGGCCATATCTAGTGACGAAGAGAGATCGATATTTACCGCCGTGCAATTACTGTGGATAAATTTAATTATGGACACATTTGCTGCATTAGCACTGGCAACCGATCCACCAACACCAGATCTATTGGATCGTAATCCGGAACCTAGAAATGCACCTCTAATTTCCTTTGACATGTGGAAGATGATCATCGGACAAAGTATATTTCAATTGGCAATGATTTTGGTGTTTTTGTACGCCGGAAATGAGATTCTAGGTTATGATACAGCCGAAGAACAATCTGGATTGAACACACTTCTCTTCAACACTTTTGTTTTCCTGCAGATATTTAATGAAGTCAAGTGAGTAAATCAGTTGCACACGGGGATTTTTTTTTTTTTTTTTTTTTCCACAAGTTCTAAAATTCTCAACTTACCAATTTATAGTTGCCGACGCCTGGATAATAATCTCGATATATTGAAAGGGATCTGGGCAAACAAATTTTTTATAGCAATCTTTATAATTATGGTGGTTGGACAATTTACCATAGTAACATTTGGAGGAGCAGCATTTCAAACCCAAAAACTGAACATAATACAGTGGATAATATGCATCGGTCTGGGTTTCTTGTCTATACCCGTGGGCGCGTTGATTCGACTGACGCCTAATAAACTCTTCGTGTTCATGTACCCCAAAACGAAGAAAGAAGAGGGTGAAGTATGGGACGACGCAGTCACGAAAATACAGAGTCAGCTAAAAGTCTTCCAAGCGATAAGGGGCGGGCGGGTGAGAGCGCATTTTGGCGATAGGACCAATCAAACTTCGACTACCACAGCAGCGGCGATGTTACCAAGTTTATTTTCGGCGTCAGTTGGAGCGGGAGGCGCATTGGCTGTAAGGAATAATTCGGGAATTTCAACCAGAAATAATTCCAGTCAATTCGACATAGCGTCACGGAGACAGTCACGACAAAAGACGACAGGTGCTCAACAACCAATTACTAGCAGTGGTAGCAGCGGCAGCATCGGTAGTGGTGACGTGGTATTGGAGGTAGATGACGACACAGAAATCAAAAATGATTCTTAGCGAGGAATAAAATGGTAATGAGTGCAGAGTTGGTGTCACATCGAGAGCACGCATTACATTCAGTTGTAGAAAGTGCCTCTTCGCCCTTTCCATGAGACCTATGCGGTTCGAGGTACCGACCCAACTTGCTCGATGGAGACGGTAATATTTGGAATTACTTTAGCCGGCGAATTTATATATATATATATTTTCGTGAGCAAATTTCTGGTTTTAAGAACTTTAAACATTCAAAATTCGTTTTCCTCACAAATTCTTAATGCACATAAGAAACCTTCCTTTATTTACTTGAATACCTTTAAAAAAAAAATCCGCAAATTAAAATTTGATCACATATAACCTAGCAATAATAGTAATGTCAAAGACCTAAAAAGAATTCTTGCAACAAATTATAAGAGCAATTTTTGCAATCGTTCAAAAAACTCATGCGAAGTAATATGTAATATATTACAAAAAAAAAAGAAAGAAAAAGAAAAAATATTATATATATACATAGATGTCATTTTTCTAACAAAAAAGGTCTGCTCACGAATATTCTAGATGAATTTATGAAATTTGCCTGGGGCGCAGAGAATGGGTTGTTTATGCAATTTAGATTGTATCTTCGTTTGTGTGATGCTCGATTTCCATATAATATGTCAACCAATCATTTAAAGTTTGACATTTAAATTTAAAATTCATGGTGCGTCGGATGATGAGGGATTCATGAATGATCAAAGCGGGAGAGTCGCATCTAATGATGTGTTCATGAAAGTTGACACGATCAATAGAATAACTATTGTGTATTTTTGTATATTGCATATGCTACCAAGTTTAAATTGTCATGGAATACGGATTAAGAGATGAACAATTCTTTGGTTAGACGTCACATTTAGTGAGTTAGGGCCGCAGGCGTGTCGAAAGAATCGTCAATCCGAGAATTGCCCGTACTATGATGACAAACTTTCATATTCAAGTGCATTTTCTGATACTTTAATTATAGATTAAAAATTTATCTATCTTAAAATAGAAGCTGCCCCGAATTCGAAACAATTTCACGTACTATTTAACTCTCTTTTCAAAGTTCTTTTCATCTTGCAGATATTTAACCTTGGGATTATTGGAAACGTGTCACGATGAAATCCTTGTTTCGTTATTTCCGGAAAACCGGTACAAACTTGATAATAATATTTGGACCTGCCGATTCAAATGGAACAAGAAAGTTGTTGAAAATAGGATCCCGAAAATCAAACTCGCATAGACTCGCATATAGTTTGGAGTATTATTAAAATTTATGGTGAGTCATAACTCACATAATTTTAATATAAAATCTAGAATCGAGGTTCGACTGATTAGATCTTTTAAGTTTAAAAAAAAATAAAAGACGAATAAGGAGAAGTGTGCTTTTTTTTTTTTGCAAAGTAATTCCTGACGAACCCATTTGGAACGGTGTTGGTATTTTTATTTCAACAGGACCATTGTGTATTTGATAGCTTGGTATTCATTCTAAATCCTCGATGCGGGCACCCTAACTTTGTTGTTAATAGGGATCTACTGGTTTTGGAAAAGAACTGGTTATGTACCTTCCCTTATTACCAAATAAAATAAAAGGATTGCACTACTAATGCTATTACTTTTGCGATAGGTAAAATCAAAATGTTCAAAGCAATGGTTGAAGCTATTTCGGAAGAATATATGGTTTGGGAAGTAAGAGGATGCAATAAAGAGAACGAAAGGTCAATAATACAAAAAGTCTAATGACGTCTTAAAGCGTTAATGGTTAGTTTATATAAAATGATTATTTCCAGTTATATCTTTTATATCTTATATTTACACGTTACAGAAAAGAACAAAATCATCAAAGTGATACAAAATGTCTGTTTATTGACCTATGCCTCCCAAAGCAATAGAAAATCCATTAAAAATAATAGCTTACAATTTCCAGAATGTGATGGATTGCTAATATTTCTTATTCTACTTTCAAAAATCTATACTATATAGTTTATTATAATGAAATATAATTTACTTATTAAGCTTAAGAATAAAGTCTTTTTAACTATCAATATTATTGAATAATATTATTTTTATTAAAAATAATTAATATAAAATATATTTAATAATTTTATATTAAATTAAAACAAAACTCTTTCTATTGATTCTTTAATTATATACAAAAAAATATTTGCAAAAAGTTAATAAATTCTTAATACTTTTTTTAAAACAACTTGAAGTTTAACTTCAAAAATCCTCTCTATTCTTTTTCTATCATTTAACCCTTTTTATCCAAAAACTTGACTTCTAGTAATAAAAAAAAATCAAATAATATTTTTGATATCAATAGTAAAAAGGTTCCTAAAAAAAGAAAAACTAACTGTAAAGCATTTGAAAAAATTTTTAATCTTTAAAACAAGAGATTTATAAAGATTTTTTGCAATAAAAAATCCCATTCTCTTATCTTTTAATTGTTTGAATCCTTTTAAAAATTTTACTTTCACAGTTTTTTAGAAAATTTTATCTATCTCAATTTGATTCTAAATTTTGAATAGTACAAATTCTTATTAAAGATTATTGATTAATAGAAAATACATTAGTTTTGAAATATAAACAAGCTTCTATTAATTATACATATATGTTTTAATGATTTCATTGATAATTGCTTCTAAAAAAATTATTTTTAAAAGGTTAAGTCCTTTTAAAAAAATATTTATAATATTAAAAAATCAAAAAATAAATAATATAAATCGAATATTTTTGTTTTTTTTTTAAGTTTCTCCAATAGTAATAAAGCTTTAATAAATAAAAGCTAAGGTTTGAATATTTTCTTTAAGATATTTTATTTTGATACTTACTTAAATAAAAAATCAATTGGATTGACTTATAAATAGTAATAAAGAAGATTTTTTTTGAAATTTAAATTAAATAAAAAAAAATATTTCAATCAAGCAAAACTTTTGAAAAAAGAATAACTTTGTTTCTGTAAAATCTTAAATTGTCTTTTTTTTTAACTATTAATCTTTTTTTCTTTTTAACTTAACAATTTATTAATTTTCAAATTAATAAAATAATGACAAAATTGTTAACAATAATCCTGATAAAAAATTATCAATTTAATTGTATTAGAGAATATATATTTTAATAATGTAATTAATAATAAGAAAGAAAAGTTTATAATTTTTCTAAAAATTTTCTTTTTTGGTAATTCTTTAGAGAAAAAGGATAATACAATCCAAGCTCAGCAAACACAGTAAAGAGAAACACAACTAC